TTTGCTGGAATGAGATCGGAATGTTTCGATTCAGCCTCAATAATATTCTGGCAATTTTGATCAGTTAAATCCTGCATTACTTTATCGGAACGGATTAATTTTAAGTTATAACCAGATAACACTTCGGTCTCTGTATAATAATAAGCCTCATATTTCGCTTCGATTTGTTCGGGAGTTATTTCAAGTTTGGAAGCAGAAATCCATTCTAATTTATCCTTCTGTTCGCTATCTACTAAAATTATTTAGATAAATAATTTCTTTGCACGTACATGCTTCGTAAGAATTGAATGTGAATTGAATATTCGCGGGAAAACAATTTTGTAACACTCTAACCTCAAATTTCGACAGACACGTTCAAGACTTATTACAACAATATAGGACATTTTTTCGTTATCCAACCAGAAGCAAATAAAGCTTATCTTCGTCTTCAGGGATCAGAAGAAGAAAATAGTCATAGCTGGTTGCTTCTGGTTGCATAACGAAAAAATGTCAATGATTAGCCATACCTTCATCAATATCGGCTGCACCTTCTGCAAATCGAAATTTGAACATTATTCGGTAAGTTTGATTTAAAAAACTAAAAAGTCACACATCTAGGATAAATTAAAGTATCAAATAAAGTATATATCATTACAGAGGAGTGAAAATCCATATTTTAGATAGAACTCATTTATTGAGTCAATGTGCACAAAACGTACATATATGTTGAACTACATAGCTACTGATATTTCCGGCGGATAACACATCCACAATTTTCAATTTTTGTGATTAATTGTTTAGTACTATTCCATGCTATGTTTACAGAATATAATTGTATAATAATTATTGGAACATAAAACCAAGGATTGTGGATGTATTATACTCACTAGAAGTATTAATGCTTATATTATAGTTCAACGTGTACATAAACGACATAGACGCGCTAGTAAACATTTTTCATCTAAAATGCAGATACGTCCTCTCTCAGTCTCTTTCTGCACCAAACAACGTTTCAGTACATACCTACAATGATAAGTCAGAAAACTACTAGATCACTTCTCAAACTTGAACTTGCTTGGAAAATCACGACATCTGGTATAGTTGTGCAATTTCTGTATTCGTATTCCAAGAACAATATTATATAATATTTGAGAGTTTAAAAAATTAAATATCTTATAATGCAATATTCGAGCAAGTTGAATTGATGCGAAATAGATCTAAAAAATTAAATTATTTTAAATCATAATTTGAATTATTTTTATGTAACTACAATAACTGCTATTGAACACTTAATTGTTTATCTTTTATTTTAAAAATTTATTCTGTTGTAACTTAAATGTATATATTTGCAAAATAATATATTTAAGGGATCCTATAAAGTGAAGCTCGAACTTCGATGAGATCGTTGTTTTACCGATAAAATGCGACACATCGACATATTTTTATATACTACTACATCAATATCGCACTCATATATACATACAAATTTTCTAACTAATTAATCTTTTATATTAAGTATCTAAACCTATTTCTAAGTACACTGGTTGTTCATGTAATCTTTAGAGTCCAAAATTATTTTATACGTACAAAATATAAAACTCGTATATAAAGCAAACATTGGGTGTTTTCCATTTGATAACACAAGTCGACACAAGTGTTGTATCTTTATTAATCTTTTAATGTAAAGAACGACGCTTATGTGTCGACTTGTGTCATCAAATGGAAAGCTCATTATTACGAGTCGACGTTAAAAGGTCACAAAACAGTAATTTTCCACTTTTTTTCGTTTTTGGCGACAAAATCCGACCGGTTTGGACTACATTATCGATTATACTTTAACTGAAAAAGAATTTTTTAATCTGTAAAGACAGTTAGAAAAATACGTGCTTGAAAAAAATTCATAAAATAGATTCGCTTTAAAATCCCCTTAAGGCCAACATACTTAGTCAATTTATTTCTACAAGAAAAAGAAAGTTGCGTTCTCCCATTTTCTTACAATAATATAGTGTACGTGATAAAATTTTGTAGTAAAGCTTATCGTTGTCCCATGATCAGACAATTTTTCGAATAAAGTCATTAATCACATCGGTATTATTTCTTCATTGTCAATTTAATTTTTCCTGATAACAGCGATTCCCGACAATAATTTTGTCATTCATAAAGAATTAAAAAGGATTTTAAAAATATGCAAAAGAATTTTATTGTTCGTTTGTTTTACGTTATTATAAAGCGGTCATCACTCATTCTTATTCATTTTTATACTGCAAAAAAAATATCTTCGTCCACTAATTTTTATTACTTTGACAATATCAACATTGGTCACAACTATACATCAATGATCGCGATTTTATCATGATTATCTAAGTTAATTTCTACTTCGTTTTTTTTTTTACTTTTTTTCTATAGTAATCAGATGCTGCATTAGCTGTCGCCTATTTTTGATAGAATCATCTGCGTATTGTTTAATTTATGGAACATTTATGAAGCTCGAGATAAATTTTGTAGCATATCACGATTTTAACGAGTTTATTAATATTATATTTTATAATCTTATCAATATAGGAAGCAGAATTCGTTCTTTCAACAGAAACTCGATACATAGCATATCCTGAGTCGTAAGAATTACGTCAATGACAAACGATTGCAGGAAATAATTAGTCGACAGCTATGACAAGTAAACAAAGATCATTCGACGTCTTTGAATAAAATGTTATCTCTAGATCACGCGCTCACAAACACGATGTACTTCTTCGTTATATGTGACGTTATTATTCCAAGCAGAAACAAAACAAAAATGCTGAATAACATGTAAGGTAACTCCGGTATATATGCCGCACCTATCAAAAACTTAATTTATTAAGTATTATCTACTATGTTTAAAGTAAACGAACTATATCAGTAAAAATTTTATACTGTCTACTATTATGAAAAAAATATTAGAAATCCGAAATAATAATTTATAAAAATGACACAATAACTTGTAAAATACGTTTATAAAGTTTTATTAAGGGATAAGAATGATAAATATGTATATGAAGTAATTAATAATAATTATGATTTTCCCACATGTATTACAAGTATTATGACATGAGTTACATATGTCATGTAATGCGTTTATTGTATTTAATACACTAAATTTAATCTGCGCACTTTGTATGTTTTGAGCATAAATCCCGCCCGTTAAAAATGCCATATATCCCAAACAGGTGGAATATAAAACAACAAACTAAACAAAGAATACAAGAGCAAAGTACTTGTATTTTGTTATATAACATCCTTTATTCTATTCTTCTACACTCATGTATCACGAAATAACCACTAAGTCTTTTGCACGTCCTACAGTAATCATTTTATGTAGATTAGTAATTTATGATAGTGCTACGTAAAACAGTGACAAACGATTCAACTCAATAATTTCATTGATATTAACAATAAGAAACTGAAATCATTACACAATACTAATATAACATAAAGGCATGTAACAGAGTAAATCCTAGCGCGGCATATTTGCCGGAATTTATGCTACTTTGTCTACTGTAATTCGATGAAGTGATTGTCATTATCGAATGCAAAACACTGTCTTTGTTTATTTCAATTATTTTCACATTATTGCAATTACGATTTCATTTTCGTAAAATTACAGGCAATATAATACTAGAAAAAAAAATATCTCACTGTTTACATTTGAATCATAAATCAGATTACATCAGATTCAATAATAATAATAGAACCAATTTGAGATAGCGTAGTTCCATTTATACGAATTGCATCGATCGTTCGATGCATTCTTATCAGAAAACAAATATGTTATTATGTGGTAGATTATAGATCAAGTATCAAAATGCCCATGAAAATGTCAAGTCATTAATATTATTCATATGTAGAAATGCATAGCCATTTTAATAAAATGTATGCTGATGTTTATTAAAAATTCTGAATTGCTGATCAAGACAATGAAAAAATAATTTAAAATTCACGATTCATTAAATAGATCAATTTTATGTGTTCTGTATAATCAAGATATCAATTAGTTACGTAACTTCTAGATACATTACTTATCAGAAATTCATTATCCATTTGATAAAACCGTGCAAATCGCGTTCATAAAACGTAATCGCTGTGCTTAGAAAAAAAACATAAGAAATTGTATAAATAAGAAAATAAATATAATAAATAGAATCAATATTGTATCAAGACTTCACAACTCTTTTTCTTATCTCTATCATATATTTACAAATAAACCTGACATCAGCACATTCGTGTTTATTTTAATTAACGTAGATTAATTTTAAGCAGTTTCTCTTACTTTTTCTAATTCTAAACATTAGAAAAAGACAAAAGAGTAAATTAAACTGAAATCAAAGTTAATTTGCATTGGTAGAAATAAATATTAATCCATAAATAACCGCATTAGAAATATTAAGCTTAAGTTAAAAAAGATGATCTTTTTTTTTTCTAGACAAGTAATATTTGCTTATTCTTTACATATTTTTTGATTACATATTTTATGAATTTTTTCAGCATTTTTCTATGTTTCGATCTCTTAGAATATATAAACGCATGAATGTTAATAGCATATTAATTATTTTAACATAAAAGCTTTTCAGTTTCATCCCTCTTTTTTATGTAATTATTTTCACAGTATTTTTCGTCGCACCGTTACTCACTCAGTTTGCCATTCTCATTAATTTTGACCTATTGTGTTCGATTTTTTACTGCATAGGCAGCGCAATTCTTTCTTCCGCATTTCGTTAGCAATCAGAATGATGTAGATATTGTACGAATTTTCGAAATATAGGATAGTAGAATAGTCGGAACAAGTCGTAACTCCTTCTCGATGTCGTCGTCATTGTCAATGTTGTAATCACTATGACAAACACGTTGAAGAGGGGACAGGGTTAAGGGACGGGTTGGTTCTCGATTCTTCATTCGAGGGGACTTCCCGGCTGCAGTTCGGAATTTTCGTTTAAAAGCGGACGCGCCATGATGGCTATTCAGTTTTACTTTTGACACGTGCTGTAAAGGTGTCAATTACCATGATGTTATCCTCTTACTTCATTCACTTGTCGACGTTATACATACTCCTATTTGGTTTCCTTGAGCATGTGGTGCTTGCCATTCCCATTAACAACACGAATTTCATCAATGCAACCAGTAAGCCACTCGAGATTTTATACCGGAATCAAAAATACATCATATTTTCAGAATTAGTTCTTCTGCGTGGCGAAGAAAATATGCGACACTAATAATATCGTGGATCACGCAGTAGATATTTAAGATTCATAATACATATAATAAATTTAAAGATATAATTTAAAGATAAATTTAAATCTTTTTATATTATTTACAATATGTAAGTAGAAGAGACTGTAATATCCTGGAACATAATGTATAATACACTAATACATTAATTATTCTTTTAATAATAATTAATATATTGTACTAATTAATTCTAATAATGGGATTCTTAATGTGTCGATCACTCAGTTATATTTCAACTGAAACAATATAACTGAATTGCTAACATTAAAAATCTCATTATTATTAAAAAATAATTAGTATGTCGTAAGGTACATGTGCTCCTAAGTCATCACAATCTCCCTTATTATCTATAACAAAATAGGTTTTTTAATTATTATTCGTGTTTATATTATTCTTTTCTATTAAGTCCTTAATGGTTCTTTTTCGATCATTCTTGTATACACAAGGAATCTCTCTTAAAAAAATATAAAAAATCAGAAAGGTATCTTACAATTCTTTCAATCTATTCAATAAGAGCTAGCTATATTTCCTACGTATATTTTTTATTTATGTAAATATATAATAAAAAAATATTGTAAATATCTGCAACAAATTAATTTTTATTCGTTTTTAACATTTATTCCGTTATCGAAAGAGATCTGCGAGCTTCCGAATTGAGTTTCAGTAACGTTACACTTAATCGTTGTGAGTCATTTCTGTTTATGCAAACTTTAATCATCATAATAAAGTCCACCTTTAGATATGATAAATATAAGTATAAAAAATACATGGCTCACAACTACGCAACTTTTACAAAGTAGCTACATTTACAACGGAGCTGTTAGAAAACTAGCGTCTAAGTAATGTCTAATTTCTTAATGGTGTTACGACGCTTGATATAAAATTAAAGTGCATCAGTTATTTATATCTAAGTAGTATGATAACATTCTATGATATCAGTTCGTGCAATGCCAAGAAAATTATTCTACAAGGATAATTAACCATACTATAATATTTCGAAACTGTTACAGTATGCTCGTATAGAAGAAAGTGTAATTTTCTTTTTAAAGTTACAATTTTAGTTGTAATTAATAAGTTGATTTGCGCGATTGGACGTATACTCAGAAAAAATAAAATTGTTCGAGATAAAACGTGCGATCCAGTAAACAAACAATTTACATTCCTCGTGACAAAAACGCTTTGATAACTAGTCAGTATTTTTCCAAAGTTTTCCGCCACATTTGCAAGACGTGTCTGAGCCGAAATTATTGTATTTTACAACTTGGGAATTTGATTGGGCAATCTATCATCGTATCTCAAGGACGAAATAATTTCTGCACGGTATATTTGCAATTGCGCAACTAATTGATGAAAACGTGCTTGTTCGTGCTAACTCGTTAGCTGACTCCAATTTATATCCGCCAAGTTCTATGTTACCTGTTCTACACGATGCAAGAAATTCGTAATTCTTTATATCATTATTATTATTATTATTGTTATTATTATTATCAAGGATCCATAATGCATTTAAATAACAATTGCGTACAGTAGCGTACATACGTTAATCTTTTGTTCGTATTTTAAGACTGTTCAAAACCTACGAAGAATTAATTTAATTCGAAAATAATTTATTAATAATAATTTATCTATAATAGATTCTCGGTGTTCAGAGTGCCTAAGAATTGTCAGCCGAAAGGAATGGAATGCCAGGAAACATCTCAATTTCGAGATCATGCCAATAAAACCAGCACCATACGTAGTGGTCCATCATGGCGGTATACCTAGGTATTGTCGGGATCAGGAGACGTGCTCTGATATCGTTAGAACCTATCAAGATTTGCATCTGGATCAGCGAGGCTGGTGGGACATTGGATATAATTTCGTCATTGGCGAAGACGGTAACGTTTACGAGGGTCGCGGTTGGGATTATACTGGTGCACATGCAGTTGAATATAATACCCAGAGTATTGGCATATGCATCATAGGAGACTTCACCGGTAATTAAAGCATTATAAATATGATTGATGTTTCGTCAGCTATGTAGAGAGAGATATAATACACAGAAAGATTGATTTTACTTAAGCATTTAAAAAATTCGGTTTGACACAGAGTTCTAAAATTAATTTTATTAAACTACTTAAATAATTGTATAAAATACTTAAACGTAATGAGTAATGCTGCAAAAAATTTTGACATTCTAGCAACCAGCCAAAGCATCCTACATAATTATTTTAATAGTCCAATAAAATTATTTTAGATTTGCATTTAGCCAATTTTTTAAATACTTGACCAAAACTTTTTTTTCCGTGTAAATCAAATAACATCCATTCCATCGAACAAAGATTAATAATTTATAAAAAATCGTTGAAAATGATTGTCAAGTTTTTCTTATTGAAAAATGATTCTTGTTTTTATATCAATCTTTTTTGTACTACAGTTCAGAAATATTAAATTACATATATAAATGAAAGATAAATTATCATTTAAAAATCCAAGAGTGTCATTTCAAATTGATTTTACTAAAAAAAATTAATCTTTTATGTAAAAACAATATACAAGATATCTTCCTTGAGATATCGTATCGTCTTCTACGTCAAAGAAATCATTATGACGCACGTAAATGTATGATTTCGCAGACTTTCTTCCGAACGAAGCCGCTCTGAAAGCGTTGAACAAGCTGATAGCTTATGGGGTTTTACTCGGCAAGATAAAGAAGAACTACAACGTGATTGGTCATCGACAAGTGCGAGACACGGAATGCCCAGGCGAAACTTTTTACAAGCTTGTAGTTAATCTTCCCCGTTGGACTGCAAATCCAAAACCTCACATACGTCCGACCACCACAATAAAGTCGATAGATAATATCGTAGAAGAAAACAACAAAGCGAATGTTATTCTATAATGATATTTCTAGATCCTTGTCAAATATATCGTCCTTAATTATAACGAATCTTAATTAACGTAACAAAAGATTGTAAGTATGACAAAATTATTTCATTTTTACACAGAAAGAACGATTTTACTAAAGTATCTAAAAATTTAGGTATAAATACAGATTTAAAAATAATTTTATTGAATTAATTAAAATAGTTATGTATAGAAAACTTAAGCATGATGAAAAATGCTGCAAAAAGTTTTGACATTCTAACTAATTTGAGTTAATTTTTCTTATATATTAGGTGTTGGAATTAATTCGTAGCGTTTTTTAATGAAAGAATGTTATTTATTTCACATGAGCATTAAAAAATACATTAATGAAAGTACTTCCCATCACTTGTAAAACGCTACGAATTAATTCCAACACCTAATAAAAATTATTTTGATGATTCAAATAAAATTATTTTCTGTATTTAGCAAAACCGTTTTTTCCGTATATTAAAAAAAATACTTAGGCCGGTATTCATAATCTGCTCTTATGTATTTTAAGACCTCTTATGTATTGTATCTTAAGTAACATCTTAAAATGCTAATACGACTTTGTGATTGACTTATGACATCTTAAAACTGTACTTAAAATGGTCTTAAATATTAGAATCAACTATAAATACCGGCTTTATAATATTTTATGATGAAATATACTATCACATATATTTCTATTTCTTTTTTTTTCTCATTTATAAAAAGAATCTAATAGATTCGCGTGATTATGTCATTAGCTTTTAGAAATCCGCTTACGCTATTTAGTAAGTAAAGCTCATAATTTTATATTATGTATATATAATAGTATATAATAGTGTTCGATATGCTGTAGATATTGGATATAACCATTGCTACCTCTATTATTATCGTTACGAAATATTCTCGCTGCGGAATAGTCATTAAAAAAAACCGCCTTTTTCTGTCTCGCGAAGGTGATTCCCTGATGTACAAAGTGACCTCGTATAATAGACTCTCCGCATTAATATATGTACATCATAATTAATTAAGATGCCAATTAATTAAGATGCCATCAATAAAATTACCATTAGTCAAAACTCAAGGTTTACGTACACGTTTCAGATTGTTAAGAAATCAAACAAGACATTTTAAAGTATATAACGTAACTATCTCTCACGCAAGTTCGACAAATAAGATCAATGTCACTCTCACCTTGTGTTCGCGTGCGAGCTGTTCTTTTACATAGCTATACTTGTTGCAACAATATATGCTCTAAGGTCATGGTCTTCGGATTTAATTAACGACAATGGTAATCGAAATAGCACGATGCCGTACAATTGTCTTTCGCATAATTTCGTATAGATTACTCTGATAAAATTATCTCAAGTACTCTGTTCCATAATGTATATGTAAATACATATGGAACATGTAAAGTATGATCGCAAATTTCACGGACATTGAAATGATTGAATTAACATTGATTCTACTGTAAACGAGAGAATCGTACATATACAGTGAGAGCGAAAAGTATTCGTACAAGGAAATTTATTACAAAAAAATCTTATTTGAAGAAAATAAACATTAATTAGCAATTTTATACAATGTATACATTCTGTTATAACATAAACAAATGAGCTTCGCATGTATTCCTGATTTTAGAATCTAAATTTCTCGTTTGTATGAATACTTTTTGAGCATCAAACAATACAATTTTTAATTTTCGCTTATTTTTCAAATACATTTTGTATAATTAATACACATCTTTTTAGTATATATAATTTTAAAAAACATACAGTCTATTTTAGTGTTTATGAATAAATTGTTAATTATCCAACAAGAAATGATTGCCAATTAAACGTCGAATCGACGTCAAATTGATGTTGAAATCATCATATTTATATTGATTCAACATCAATTCGACTCATTTTTCACTGGATAATATTTACTTTTTAAAAATAAAGTTTTTTTAAAAAATATTTTCTCTGTATGAATACTTTTTGCACTCACTGTATCTTTCAGAAAAAAGATTTTACGATTGACACATTGACAAAACCACTTTTTGGAATTTGCGTTACACATATATGTATATCTGTTGAACACACTGACCTGTATATTGCATTCTTCACTCTCATTCATCAGCCGAAAATAACGGACGATTTAAATACTTACGAGTAGTAAATCTGCAAAAAAAAAACGTTAATTTACTGTTAGTTTATCACGAAGATTATCTCCTGGGAACGCTCATAAAAATATCATTTTGTCAGACACGTGGAATCAATAAGATAATCGTGTATAGTATAATATTATCGCAACTTCATTATCATATACTGAGTAAAGTTCAGAAAGATCAGATGAGATAAGTGTCCGAATTAGATTTTCATACTGCGTTTCGTTGCATGTGCTAATCAAAAGATTTAATCAAAGCGTAAACAAATTGAAACGTTAGTACGCATTTATCAATAATTTCACGTTATCTTACTAGTAAATTAATTTGTGTAATTAATGATGGTTATCGTTCCTTAAAAAAACCCCAGTCTTTTTTAAGTAACACATGAATGACGTACTATCTCTTATATTTATCATTTTCATTCATACATATTTAAAATATAATTATGTATTGTCTCGTTATTTCGCATTTCTTATTAGCCAATAATACGTAGTTCTGTATATAACAGTATTTGTATATAATGTATATGTATTATATGTATTATAAAATGTAATGTATATGTATTATAAAATCCTTCCCATTTATAGTTAGTTTAAATAATTATACACATATATTAAACACATATATAACTATACTAAATAATTAAGTTTTCCGCAACTGTTACAAGATAATTTGTTAATAAAAAAGTTATCTAATTATTTAATAAATTATTTTAATGACAAAATTCTATGAATTATACAAATTTTGTTGTAAAATATATAAATATATACCTATAAATAAATCAACATTACAATTAAATGATTTAAGCACTATTATCAAATTGCAGCACTAAAATTCCGTTAGTCTTCCCCTCCCCTTTCTCAAGTCATTAGGTTAACAGGAAAATCCCGTTTGGAGATTATTTCAAATGTGTATGTATGTATATGGACATACGTACACATCTGTTATAGGCCATGTGAGAAGTCAAAGATCGTGTCCTGTACAATATCTTGCATTAAAAGTACTTATATGTATATTGGTATAGTGTGTGTTCGGGGAGACGTTATCAACGCTATTCATAGAGCCAACAACTCGATAGTATTAGTAAATTCCATGAACAACAAATGTAGTGTTGGTAGCATTCGTCGAATTAGATTAAAATGGAGTACAGTAACATTTTATTAAAAAAAATAGAATATATTTATAAAATAAATTATATTTATAATAAAATGTCAAATTTTTTCCAACTTATGAAAGAAAAATTATTTTATGTATTACACAGTTTAAATCATATTTTCCTTATAATAGAAATAATTTATTTATGTGCATTATTTTTAGAATTTAAATTGTTATGGTAAAATAATTTATTTCTTATTGTTAGCAAATCGTATCGTAAATGATATCAACAATAATGTAAAATATTAATTGTTGAATCATAAAAAACTAGAAAAAATATTATTTAATGGAGATGCGAGAGAATATGTCATAATTTATGTTACGAAATATTTTGAATAAATCTTTATTATTTACAAAAATATATTCATATCATGTTCAAATAGAGATGATGATACAAAAACAGATCAAAAAATTAATTAAGGATTTATAAATTTTACAATAATTAAATATTTACAATTAAAAAAAATTAAAAATAGTATTTTATATTAGGAAAGTACATCTTAGAATCGACTAAATCTTTTTCGTTTAATATACTTGGAATTATCTCTACAACTTTTTCTCCTTGAATCGCCTCCATGGCCGTCTTTTTTTCTAAAATTTGTTTCCTGTTTTTCTTCAGTGATTTAATTGAATTTGGATATACAGGGAACTATAAACTATAATGGTTCTTGAAACGACGTTTAAGCCTTATATGATATAAGTGCTGCAAAGACTAACGCTGCCCATACACTTAAGAATTACTACATCTATTGTAAATCAAGACTAATACAGAATAACGCGGCAGAGAATTCAAAATAAAAAATTTAGAAGATTTTCCCCGGACGCCTTTGGAAAAAATCTTCTGGACATCCCCGGCTCTAAAAAAAAAAAAAGAGGATGGTGTCCGGGGAAAAGAGGATGGATGGTAACCCTACCTCGAAAGGAATAGCGTTGATAGCGCGCAGTTACGACGTAAAACGCTACCATTGGTGATCTTATAATTGTTAATATTATCTATAGTTCCGCGAACAGCTTGTAGCGTTAAATAGCGCATACAGCGTCCCTCCGAACGCATCCTTACTTATTAAGTTGCATATGACATTAGTATCGTTTTGTAAGTCAAAATGTACGTCGCGACGACATCAATTTTCGTGACAGTTTATGTAATACTGATCATCCAGGAGACTGCTGCCAGTAATTCAATTAATATATTATTTATACCGCAAGTTTAAACTATGAATTTCGCTTTGTACCTCCATGAACATCAAAATTTTTAAAGATATTTCTTATAGTGCGTGTTGTTAAAAGTAAAGTTGTTAAAAGAATATTTTGCGTAAGCATAATAAAATTCTTATCCTTGTGATTAGTTTCAAAGATAATTAATTAGAAATTAATTTGTAATAGTAATTGCAAGTAAGTAATAAGATATAAAGTTGTAAAACTAAAAGTTAATTTTCAATAAAAATGAGTTTCTTATCCTGATGTCTTCGTATTTTCTTGATAAATTGAAACTGTTATTATATTTATGATGATTCATGGAGAAACGCTAATTGTTATCGATTGATTACTTAATAATGTATTTGCGCGATAAGTATAGTAGTTAAATATATTTGCATAAAGCAAAATATTTTTCGACGTGATAAATTATTATGGAAATATCCCGTGTGTCAAGATTGATAATTGTTATTACGTCAATACAATGACATTATTTGCATTTCGAATAATTTTTCCTTCAAATCAGAATACGATATTAATTTCAATTTGTGAGTGAGAAATATTTTTACTCTTCACAGTATTTATAAATATTTTTTATATTCTTATTTTTTTGTCAGTAAAAATCAGAGCATGTATGTAATTATCTTATAATAGCATTCATTTAATATTCATAAGGATCTAATTCAAAAAATAATTTTATCCACTAAGCGATAAAGTATTCCGTTCATGTAAAATTTAGAAGATACATATAAAAGCATGCAGGCTCATAAATCTTCGCGTTCAAAGAATTCCTTTAGAAAAAAACAATAATGTAAAATATAGTTTTATCTTTAAAGATTATTAAAATAGTAGCTTTTTTAAACTCAATTAACTAAAGTGGATTTTAGAATTACATTTTAATCAATTAATTTAATTAAAATTTATAATTCATTGTTAATGCTTATGCTTACATAAAGCATAATCATTCATTTTTAATTTTAATTGCTTTTTCAGATAGTCCAAATATCATTTCTAGAACAGAATGGGGCGCTAGAGAACCGAAATCGCAAACTAATCTTAAATTAAAACCAGCACCTTATGTGATCATTCATCATTCGGTTGGCTCCGGTTGCGAAACTCAAGCTGTATGTCAATTAAAAGTGAGACAGTTCCAGGTAATTAATATATCAAAAAACAAATCTTTTTGTGAACGGAAAATCTTTTTGTATTTAAATAAATGAACTTTTTGTATTTGTGTAACTCATTGTACGCAAACAGCCATATAGGTACAACTCAAATAATATTTTACATAAATATTTTACATAAATATTTTACATATATCTATTTTAATAGAATAAAGTTGATTCTTTTTTATTTTACGTTTTAATAAATAATAAATTTATAAATAATAAGTAAATACTGATGTTAATAAATAATAAATACTGGTACTTGCATATCACAACAATTATCAAATTTTGTTTCAAGAATGAGCACATGAATAAAAGAGGCTGGCCCGATATTGGCTATAATTTCCTAGTCGGTGAAGACGGAAACGTGTATGAGGGTCGCGGATGGGGTAAAAAAGGCGCTCATTCTATACCTTTCAATAGCAAGAGTATTGGAATTTGCATCATCGGAGATTACAGAAGTAAGCAACCAAAAATAAGATGGATTTGTAATTAATATCGCATATAGGTAACATGTATTTCTCTAACGTTTTTCTTATTAGACCGAACACCAAATGCAGCAGCGGTACAAACAGTGGCTAATTTGATTGCTTATGGAGTAGAAAGTAACGAAATAAAGAGTAATTACAAGCTTCTTGGACATCGACAAACCTGGTCAACCGAATGTCCCGGAAATAGTCTTTACACAATGATAAAGTCATGGCCTCATTGGTCGGAAAGTCAATGAATAATAATGTATATTGTTTTTAATACGACATGTAATAAAAATCTTTTTTATTGGTCGCTATTAGAACGATCATAAATCATGATTGCGTAATCAACAATTAATGAATATTTACGAAATTCACAATGCATTTAACTCTATAAATGTCAAAATTTACCATAATATCGTAATTTTTCATACTAATGTATATCGCTTTATCAGATTAATTAATATATATAAATATTATAATACATAAATATTTATAAAAATAAATCAAACAATCGTTGTTTATAAGCATAAATGATTTAATTCAATTCCATATATATTATATAACGTAATTATTATAATTATTATAAAATATTAATTTAATAATATTATTAGCAATAATCAAGTATATAATTTCCATGTAATTATTATATATAGATAGTAACAAAATCGTTGAGATATTTATCGTAAGTATCTTCCTCAGTCCTGACGCAAATTTCCAATCTCGAGAAATCGATTAGTTTATTGCTTTCGTAATCACTCTGATCCCTTATCTAAAATAAATTATTTTATTCTTTCTATATTTTCAATACGTGCCATGGAGAAATATCATTACCGAGTCTCATATTTTATAATATAGCAAACATAATATATAATAATTATACACCTGCAGGGGAATTTGTTTCCCGAATTGCTCATTCAATTCTTCTATACATATCTTCGTTCCATATGGAATGCCAGATTTCAAATTACCAGCGACAGTAACATAACGAGCACGACCATCAAGATAATCCTAAAATGAATTCGTATATATTAAAGAGAATGATATGTAAGTCGTTTTTGCCACATTGCATCTGTCACGCTTATGAACCTGAAGAGTCTTCAATCCATTTCCTTGATCATCTAAATAATTACGTTTATCGTCCGTCTCGAATACAGGATAATATGCGGAAAGAGATACGTTATGAATAGCAAATCCCGCACATTTCAAATCCGTTCTATTCAAACTCTTGTCTAAAATCAATTATACTAAGCGTTAAGTAAATTTAACGAAATTAAACACTTAAAAAATTTAATCATTATAAATATTTTGAGAAAAACATATTTGATATTTATGACTATAATTAGACTATAATAAGATACTTATAATTAGGAGCCTTTTTCTTAATATTATTATTGCTATAATATGTTAGTAATAATAATTACATTTATGGTTTTATAAAATTTTAAAAATATTTAATATTTGTATAAATTATTATTATATTATTAATATTATAGCAGTAATAATTATAAAAATAGAGTTCCTAACCATAATTAATCTACTATGCAATTATAGTACCAAATATCAAACACTTTTCTCTCATTGTAGTAGTTTTTTATTGATATGCTAAATTATTAATAAAACTGCTTACCAGATGCGAAGACTATCGAAAACAGAAGTGCGAAAATTGCGAACATTTTTGTAATTAAATAACACAACTCGTATATCGTATCACGCCAATAATCGTTCTGATTACCAAATGACCAAGTACTTTTTTTAAAGCTGACCACTTTTAAACAATGATGATCGGAATTTGCTAACGCTTGACAATTTATTCAATCGCTTCTGAATACATTCTAAAGTCGGTTCCAAGACAACACACGCCTACACGTCACCATTAGCCAATGTAACATTGTCCTGTCATGTATAAACTCCATTTCCACGAATTATCAATATTGATGTTAAGTGATATTCGTTATAAAAACAATGTAATATTTTTTTCGAACGAAATGACATTGGTGTACAATGTTAACCAATGCGCACATTTGACAGTTATACACATAAAAAAATACATACCATACACAAATAATAATTATTTGTTTCAAACATTTCGAAAGTTTCTATAACTGCAAATCTATCATGAGTTCATTACAAAGGTCAAATTTAAGATATGTTCTGAATCCTAGTAAATTTAATACTTCAATCAAAATTATTAAAGTAAATCGATTTGATTATTATATGTATAAAATTGTTTCTTCGATTAATTTTACACAATATTCTTTAAAAGAAAATTAATTTAAGTTTTGAATACATAATAACAAATGAGTTGTTAAAATTTATAAATATATTTTAAGCATAAAAGAAATAAATATATATTTTAAGATTATCAAAAAAATATTTTAAGAATAAGCGCGTTATTTAAAAGAAAGAAAATTGAATAATAGAATGATATTTTTCTATGTGTTACAATAAAAGAATAATCCAACTTTGCTCACATTCATTAAATATTGTAGTATATATTCATATGCTTAATTATGTATACAATAATACAATGGCTATAGACAACATAGCCGAAATATACCAACTTTGCGCATATTCGCTTGGCCTATATTCATATAATTATGCATGGCATATGTGTGTATATGCTAATATTAATATACATTTACCACGTCCGAAGCCGTTACTAATGTATATCAATCATTATCATAAAGGATATCAATCATACTGTATTTATATATGATCAACATTAGCTCAGTATTGCTGATCTTTTATAAACAAAAGAAATCAAAATCACCATATATTAGGTGTAGTAAAAAGAAATCCATTATTTTTCCAATAGATGGCTTTAGTAATCTGTATTACGCATAGACGAGATACTAAAGCTATCTATTGGAAAAATAATGGATTTCTTTTTACTAAATTGTTCATCTTATAAGGAATCATGTCATTTATAATAATCAGCAATACTTTTTCCTCGATACATAATTATGATATCTATCCTAAATTTCAATAGATTTAAACAGAATCGATCGATTTAAAAATATATTTTTAATGCCATATTAGAAGCAGATTATCATTAAAAATATAATGTTTATTTCATAGCTTTACATAAGTTCTTTCCGGGAAAAAGTTTCACTAATGAGATATCGAGTAAGAGCAGTGACGACATATAAAAACAATCAGAAGTAATCCAAACTGCCTCGGTAAAAAATTTTTTATGCATGGATATGTATAAATATAAGTATGTATAAACAAACATAAATATTCGTAAACATACATAATTTTATATAAAATATATCCACACATGTTCATACATGTGTGGATATATTTTATATAAAATTATGTATGTTTATGAATTCTTCTTCTTTTGTAAAATTACTTTTTAATGTAATAGAGATAACAATAATAATCTAAAAACTTCAAAAATAATTTAAAAAGTAATTTTCACACTATTTATTTTAGAAAAAATCAAGTTCGAAGAAATATAAAAAAATTACTTATGTATAATTATATATAAAATTATACATAATTCTGTATGAGCAATTTTTTTAACATTTTTTCAAACTTTTTTTCTAAAACAAACAATGCGAAAATTATCCCTTTAATTCCTTTTTTAATGTCTTCACATTACTATTGTTATTCCTATTACTACTAAAAATAAAGAAAAAATGATATTTACCATAAAGTTGCTCCGCTGGTGCTTGATACCTCTCCCAGACCTCCTCCTCCTCTCAGAATTGGGTTGACATCCTCTCGCACAGGACACTCGCGTGGAACACTCGCGAATAATATACTATAATCGCGCGCGGACTAATTATTTAAATAAAAGTCTTTCGCGCGATACTGCAGCACTCCACGTTTACAAAATCCATGATAGGATTTCCATTTCGATCGGTGAAATCAATATCACATGTCGACGAGTACTTGCGAAACACACGATGAATGCCAAACAAGAGTTAAGCCCCACACGAAAGAAGACGAAATCGATCGTATCGAGTCCGTCACCTCTGTTTTACGCAAAATCATGTTTAAAATTGACTCAGTCATACGCCCTAACTGCTAGTTCTAGTGGGACACAAGTGGTGCTGTACCTCGAGCGATTTCCAAGAGACTGGTAGACGTGACGAGCTCCTCTAATAAGAGTAAAGTTGGTACCATCACCGATTGTCTAACAATCTAGACAATTCAGGAATGGAATCCAACCCCTCGGCACGAAGCTAGTTTTTTTTAAAAAAACTACTAGAGCTAGGCTCTGACCAAGTCAGATTAAACGCGATTTAGGCTGGTAGATAATGACAGAGAAATGAGCGCCCTGATCCAGAGTTATACAACTCCTTTTTGGACGACTCACCAAGGCGGAATTCTATAACTCGTTATGTAATCGTTATGTATAACGACTGCATAACTCGAGTTATCGAATACAGGCCCAGAGAAGAATCCGAGTCGATCGATCGCTTCTTATCGCTAAGGGCCGAACTGTTGACCGACAGACAGAGCTTGTCCTCAATTAGCCGACAGCAACAGTAGTTGCTAAACCGCGCGAACACGCACCACGAAGTGCGTGACATTACGCGGCCGGCATCACCTCGTGCCCGGAGCACTTGGCGTGAGAGCGTTGCAGTGACCGTAACCACCTCAGCAACGTCTCAATGAGAGTTCCGCTTTCCTGTCGAAACGTCGCAGATATGATTCCATCGCCGAAATAGAATTCCATCAAATGGGTTTTGTTAAAAGTCCATTAGTCCGATAATTTTAACGGCACTCCCGAAGCAAACGCGCGACGCGACGAACCGGCTGCGGTTCGTTCACTTTCAATTAAATCGGCGGACGAGGGTACGTTAGCTTCCCCTTCGTTGGATTTTTACACGAAGAGAATGATTTTACTCAAGTATTTAAAAATTTTCCTAGGTATATCATTCTGATAGATTCGAAAATTTTTAGATACTTGAGAAAAACCATTCTTTTCGTGTATATCCTCCAGGTACTGAGCCCTCACACCACGTCAAGGTGTACCCGTGAGAGGGAAAATATGGTCGAAAAATTGTAATATTCAGAACAGATAAAAGGGCTGATTCTCTTTTATTACGATGTCTGTAAAATACAATTAGAGTCAATGAAATGAGCTAGAGATTAATAAAAGAGAAATGTTTCTTTTATTACCGATAAATAATTTCGAAGTTACACTCAACTTTTTTATCGTATCACGGAAAATGCACGAAAAATTAATTAAATTATTAATTACATACATTATATTAATTGTGAAAATAGGAATCGCATAAATTACATTATTTGCATGAAAGTATTTATTAACGTTGCTTTTTTATAACTCGTGCGATACTGTTCGAAGAATAATCGAAAGTTATACTTAAGCGAGACACAAAAATGTTACATTAAACAAAAATAATTGTCCGTAATTATCGCGAAATAGTAATAAATTCTCTTTTTCCATCGCGTTTTGATTTCAAATGAATGAATCGAAATATCTGTTCCGTGATATACGATTGTTCTTCCCGGAAAAAAAAGTTTCATATATAATTATACATATATAAAATTAACATATTTTATATACAATTATATATAATTATATAATACAAAATATGTTCATACATATATAATATCATATATATGTTCATATATGTTCATATATATGTTCATATAACATTTTTTCCCGGTTGAATTTAATGAAAATATTTACGCACGCTTAACGCGTTCAAGTTTTTTCGCTTCTGAATGTGGAACAATAAATATTCAGAATTAACCATTAGGTAGTTGATTGTCGCTTTCATGGCGGCATTACGGCACCAAAGCTATACTTGCTAGCTATATCCCTCATAAATAATATAGAACTTGAGTGAATAGGACACGTGGAAAACGATACATCATCAGTCTTACAAAGTGGCTCGTAGCTTTCGAACGTGTTTTGTTCCATTTCAACACAAAAGGTGCTTTACGTAATACGATGAATCAGAAAGAAGCTTTCGACATAATAGTGGCGAATTAATCGTATTATTAATAATTAACGTACCGATAAGAATCGAAAATGGGGTTTTTCATTAAATAGTACGCGAGACGATATATTCACGATATTGTAAAGGCGACTTCGATAATTATCTTATTTCTTGGTAGAGTTACGATCAAAAAGGTGATTATCGTAGTTTTAAGACTATAGATTTATAGTTTTAGACTATAGATTTATAAACAATACCTACACTTTTATATAATATATTTTTGTTTTTCGTTCAATTACTACAAATTCAATCTAGCTTGTTAAATTAAAACATAAACTATTACTAATTTCATCTGAAATCACAAGCTTTTTAATTTTTAAATTATCTTTGTTACAACGCATTGTATGTTTCAACAAAAGCAAAATTTGTTGAAGAGTTCACGCGACACGGAGGTATCTATAAGCCGTAGTATGATCGATGTGTCATTGCACTGTACCCACTAACATCGATTGCAACACTGTGATATAAGAACAAATATGTGAAAATAGAAAACGCACGTATAAAACGTAACAAATAAAGAGATAGACATACCGAATGAAAGTGCGACAAAATATGATAGTTCGTTTTACTAGTCCATCACTCGATCAGGATTACTGCGACAGTGTCGATGAATGAAAGATAAAAGTCATTCCTGAAAATTTTCTTTCACGAAGATATTGATAAAGTTAATTCCATTTCAAACATTGATCAGAGAAAACACACATTTTGTGATAAATTCGTTTTTGCATCATTTCATCATATTAGACATTGCAATATTAATTACAATTGTACTGTTGAATATTACGAAATTAGTCTCATTTATAATTATAATTATATATTAACGAGTACTTCCATGAAAAGTCCCATTTCAGGGAAATATTTATTTCTTTGACCTTGTCGCTCAATTTTAATAATGTCATTGCGTGTCATTTGTACAATGAAATTACTTTGTTTGATTAGCAGCTTACACTGGGAAAAGAATGAGCTTGATTAAAGCGCATTTCTGTGATATTCCATTTTGATTAATTATTTTATCTTCCTTTAATTATTTTTTTAGTTAGTAATTGTTAGTTGAAGAAAGAAATACTGGTTACTAAAAAAATATAGCACAATGGGAACTTTTGATGTTTTTTTTTAGCAAATTCTCGTAGGCGATGCTTCTATCATTATAACATAATTTATCGTTATTTTGACACGTGGTTATTGACGCAGGCGGAGAAAATAAACATATACTACGTATCTTATTTCATTTTACGATCAAATGTTAGTCTGCCGAATGAAAGAATGCAGTTCCGTCGCAGGAAATCAATGATTGTCAAAGTATCTGTAACATGAATTCTTGATTGATGTTAATTCTTTATTTATTCGCCTAAACTGGACGTGAAGGAAAATTGTCCTCTTTTATGTCTAGTTCAGGCGAATAAATAAAGAATTAACATCAATCAAAAATTTATGCTACAGATACTCCAAAAACCGCAAGCATAGACTTTTCGCTTGTGAAAAACGCAGGTTTGCACAGGTGGCGTCGTGACGCCGAGCGTCAGCTTCATTCGACGCGCGACGCTTCCTCGTGTCGCAGCGTCGCGACGCCTGTGTGTCATATCTTTTTAGAACGCGATACAACGCACATTTTCCGACCCGTATAGTCATTTGATCGACACAGAAATGAAGCGAATCAGACCTATTCAGGTACCACTTTTTCCTTAATGCACTGCCGAATAAAGCACTATTAATTTGATTTATCTTTTAGCCGTATATTTGTTTAACAATTTTTTTGTTAACACAAAAAAAACGTCTCTTTTAGATATGCTTAGTGGAAATATTCATAAGTTTTAATGTTAGCCATTGATAACTTAATATAATATGTCGAATTTATCTTACCGGTGTGTTTTAATTTTTGAATCTATAAAAAAAATGTTAATTTTTAACTAGCGAAAGTTCGCATAATATGCTTTTATTTCCTTATAATATTAGACTTCGTGTAATTACTATAATTACAAAATCATCGATTGCTTTCGTAACATTCGCGATTGAAATCTAAAGCACAATTTAATTTATCTCTTTGTTTAAATTTAAAAAATTTAATTTCTCTCTTTGTTTAGATTTGTTAATTCATATTAACAAATGTTTTTTGCAAAGATATATAAAATTCATTTTAGAAGCTTATACATGAAAAGCTTTATTCATTATTTTACGAATACTAATCAAGCCATATTTTTTAAAACATACAGGATATATTGAAACATTATTAACCTAATAAAATATTATTAACCTAATTTTTATAATCACATTAATATTTGAAATAATATATCACATAATTATATAAAACGAAATTATATGGAACGCTAAACAACTGCACTTATTCATATTTAAGGATACATCGCAATTTCCAAAAAGAATAGAAATTGTTTATTAATGCTTAAAATAATAAAAATACATGTAATTAAAGAATACTTAATAAATAAATGTGCTTTAAAATAGGAAAACACAAATAGGAAACATAAATCACGATGATAGAATCTAAACGATGTGTTTATATTCTATTACAATAATCTATGCGGCATTGAATAAAAAGAAATAGGGAATTCACCGATTGCTTTTCGCAAAAGGAAAAGTTCAAACGCGTATATCAAATTAATGACAAGGTTACAATAATAAATAAATAACCGACGAGATCCAGTGCGATAATGCATAATGAAATCATTCCCACGACGTAATAGCCAAAACCATAGTATGATATGATCTTTTGCAATATAGCGAGAATAGTTAGCATGATTATGCAGTAATTGAAGAAAATCTGTCGGAACGCAAACTCTCGACAAACTACATATTGAAGCTTTCTAACTATGTATTAGAGAATCTCTATGCGCGCTTTCGACTGATATTACTTTTCGCGTGTCATGAATATCGCTGTTACATCCTGACCCGCCAATCATTCATAAAGCACTATGAATATGCAAGCAAAAATATATTTGAATGCTGCAGAACATGCAAATCAATAACAAAGAGAAGCCGGTAATGACGAAATGTCTGCTAATCCTCTATAAAACATAAAATACATTAAAAAGCTCTCATGTGGATTTCAATCAATAACAAATGCAATTACACACTTTATAAAATAGGATAGAGTGTCACTTTAAATAAAAAATTGGTACTCTTGCAAATAAACTGCGTCATGATTATTTTATATTTATAATATTTATCTTTTAAATTTTTGGATTGTCATTCTGTTGCAGGGGCTGAAATGCATTCGGCTGTAAAAAATTGGTTGAATCGTGGCGAACTTGAGAGACTCGAAAATGTTGTATTGGAGGGTCGGGGCATGCGTTTATTAGGTGAACAATCGCAAGATCTTAGAACTCGTGTCTTCTTGAAGGGACTCCCTAACTATTTGGTAAGTAATTAGACAAGATATATTTTAAATAGCCACTAAATTTTATCAATCTGAAAAATTCAAGCTCTCAAGCTGAAAGAGTTTCATTAGAAAAAAAAATATTGATAAAAATCAAATAAATCGTTCGATTTATTTTAGACGAAGATCTCTCAAGTGCACGATGCTGTTGCGCGCGGCTCGTTAGCTGAAACGCAGAAGATAATTTCTGAGGAATCGAAGAAAAAGCTGGCGATCGCGAAGGATTCATGTGGAATACCTTTGATACACAAAGCGGTCTACTATGATCAACCCGAGATAGTGTCTTGGCTCGTAGAAAATTACCCTATTACGCCACAACAGAAAGATAGAGTAAATCTTCTCCAACATTGCTATCCATAAGCCGTAAAAACAAATTACATGCATCATAAAAAATTTTACACTCAAACTTGAACACTCAATCGGTTTCAGTCAAAGCATCTTAAATATAACAATAAAGAGCTTGTTTAATGGTAGCAGTTTTTGTAAAACTAATCCACTGAATTTCTCTCTTTTTAAATTGCTCTATTTAAAAAACAATATCTTAATGGTCTTAATTTACACGAGCTTTAACATAGTAACGCGAGTATTAACTTCGATCGGTTATCTTCTATAATTCACAAAGTTCGCCTATTTTTACGATGGAATCGTGTCGCAAACGCTTGTTAACTTGCTCGAGAAGAAGCTCCTGAATAATCGAAGTACTTCTTCCTAGCAACGTTTGTCACGACCCCGCATCGCGTGACGCTGATAATAACGAAGTGTAAACCACCTGTTCTTTCCTTGCCAGCCATGAGCTTGCACTAACAGATATATACAAATACACAAAAACGAATGAAACAATTTTGATCTAACGCATATCGACTTTACCATACACATTTGTTTGACACCCTCTCATCGAAGACGTAAATCTCGAAAACTTTAAATCTATTTGATTAGACGATTATACTTAATATGTTATTCTTTACGATTTAGGAAGGACGTACAGCCCTACACTATTGTTGTGTGTGTAAAGATCCTGATCCAATCTGGGATATTCTCATAGAAGGCGGATGTGACACTAGTATTTGTGACAAGAAAGGAAATCCGGCTTCTTATTACTTGGAACATTCTTCGGAGATTGAATTACCGGAAGTAGAGATGACAACTCGACGAAGAAAAAGTACCGCAAAGGATAGTGAGTATTGTTATTTCATTTTAAAAGATAAAAATATTAAGCATATTCTTAATTTTATGATAATATTAGGTGTTGGAATTAATTCGTAGCGTTTTTTAATGAAAGAATGTTATTTATTTCACATGAGCATTAAAAAATACATTAATGAAAGTACTTCCCATCACTTGTAAAACGCTACGAATTAATTCCAACACCTAATATAAAAAAAATTATTTTTCTTGATCGAAAATTATATTTTTCTTTTGCTCTACATATCATGTAAGATATTCTTTAAAACTTTTAAATACTCTCTAAAATTTTTAGAATGGAATCTCTTTAAAAATTAAGCTAATCTTGAAAAAGAGTGGCTCAATTTTCATTCTTTTAAGTGAGATTCCACTCCAAAGAATTTAGAGAGCATACATAATATCCCCCTTTTGTAAAAATGAAATAGATAAACTAAGTACTTATAAAATGTTTTATATTGTTAAAATATATGCACATATAAAGCATATCCTGACTTTTTACAATCAATACCAGTGAATAAGCGTGCTTAAACATTAATTTCGTCAGCAAGTCGTTAAGACAATTTCGAGGAAATATCGCGAACGATTCGATAGGCAACCTTGTGACCGACGGAATGCTATAGCATTTTTCGCCTGTTTCCTACTTTCGCGGATATAGATTCTTCGCCTTATGCCCCACATATCCGTTTCTAATGACCGTGAAGAATCGATAGCACATAAATTTGTAAAGCAAGGCTAACTGCGGCGTTCGATACAGAGATACGGTCGAAATGAAGAATCACCTCGTGCGAATTATAAAATCTAAATAAAAAAGCAAAGCTTTAAACTTTTTTAATCGCAATTACACAACTTTATGCTATGCAAAAATTATTTCATTCTTAGTCTTAACATCTCTTATCTTAAATATTCATCTCACTACTGACACAAAAACAAGACTAATTTAAAAAATTGCAATGTAACGTAATTACATGGAACTACAATTATCATTACAACTATCATTATTTTTTCGTTCGTTAAATGACTTCGCAAACAAATATGCCGTGGATCGACCTATCATCCTAACAATGGCTGAGTTCTAATTTCACCAATGATAAGAACTCATCTTCCATTCTTCGATCGCATTGCTATGCTAGCAATTACGCTCAAGGATCGAAGTCAAGCAATTTCCTGTAAATATACATTCCAACAATCGACTTCTGTTCTTATGCGATTGTACATAAGCAATTCTTGTAAAATTGCTTGCGCACGATACAAATAAATATACTTATATTACTTAAAAAATAAATTAAAAATAATATCTTTCGTTAAAACGCTGCTAATAATATTCTTTCATGTACAAAAATAATTTAATAGATATAATTCTTCTTTTCGCTATAAATTCAAAGATTGGTCTTGCATAATTAGAACTATCCATTAAATCATTATATTTTCATACAATATAGACTTATCGTTTTCGTATTTACACGTTCAATCCTTGAGAAATCTCGCGTGATCGTAAAATTTCACGAACCATTGCGGCAATAATAATTTATTGGAAATACTGAAGCACGACAGGTAAAAAGTTGTAAATAGAGTACAGATAGAGTAAAAACAAGTTCTCTTTATCGTGAAACAAAATGTCTACGTGCGCAACTGGAAACATGTCAGTAATATGACAAACTCTGCTACACTGCTCAACCTTTTAGAAAATTTATTAACTAGCAACTGTACTTGCCATCCGCGTATTCAAGACGTTATAAAATATTAAATGTAGCGTGCATGCAACTATTATAAAAGGCGCGCATCAATAGATCTAACTGAGCCACAATTCATTTTTAACGACAGATATTTCTGAATATAGCGGGCAGAATTATTTCCAATGTAATTACAAAGACACCAACTTTCGCAACTTAAATTATGCAAACAATCTTTGATACAAATATAATGTAACTTTTGAAATTATAAAATTACATTCAGAGAAAACAAATCTATTAAGAATAATAATCATCAACATTTTTACTATGATAAAGATGTGACATTCTAACGGAATTTCCCTGTCATAAAGAACATGTCATAAAGAACACTCTAAACACGGATTGTTCTAACATTTAATATTTATTGAGCCATAAACTTCTTGTGAATTATAAATTTAATGTAATAGTACGTAGCTCAAGGAGTCATACCGTTCACGAATATTTCATAAAAACATCGCTATTTAAATGTCATATTTGTAAAAGCTAGTCAAATCTATCTTATACTATAATGTCCGCGATGATCATGTGAAATTATTTATTTTTATTTCATATTCTTTGTTCATTATTTACCCAAATATAAATTGACTTGATATAGCTACATCTAAATAATTTTTAAAATTTATCGAAAAAATAGTACAGTGGTAACTATTTAAATTTATATTTTGTAGTTGATCTAATATTATCTAAATGATATTCATTCATTTTATGCTCAGATATGGATTTCAAGCCCTCCAATATCAGGATATGGATACACAACAAAGACATCGGAAAATTACAGCAAGTGTTGTGGGAGGGACATGGATCTAAACTTCGATGCGAGACCAGCAATAATCCGCGGATAAGAAGATTCTTAGAAGCCGTGCCCTTTATTATGGTACATCAATAGATGAATTAGTAATTACACGTATTTCTCAATTGTTCAATTAATTATAAAAAAATAAAAATCTCAATATTGCAGTAGCTAAAAAATTATTAAATAAAATTATTATGGTTTCGACAGGGCACAATAAAGGATATTCATGCAACAGTCATTAATAATGATTTGGAGGGTCTCAAGACAAAATTGGAGGAACCTATTTTGCCTATTATTTTATGCGGCAAGGACGCAAATGGCTTAAATGCCCTTCACAAAGTAAGCTTTTATGATGAAAGTCCAATAAATTTTTTCAACTGCTAAAATTCGAAGCAAGAAAAATTTATCCTATCTTTTTTATCGTAAGGCTGCTGGTTTGGGATACACGGACATCGCACGTGAAATCCTTGAAAGATGCCCTGCAACGGTAATGGCTCAAGACAATGAAGGAAAGACTCCACTGCATTATGCAGCTGCACTTAAGGACGACGGCGTCATGTATGATCTTTTAACAGAGCATGGAGCCGATGAAAGTAAACTAGATAACGTGAGTACCAGTCCATTATTTATAATTAAAAGGAAATAATTAATCGATAAGATTCTACCATAATTCTATAAATCTTGTTGTTAATCAGAGACAAAAAGCGCCTGCATTTTACAAGAACCGCCCTTCGGACGTAGACCTGTCGAATTTGTCAATGATACCGGAAGCTCCCCGAGTTTCCGATACTTATCCAAAAAGTTGGGACTGGAGGATCTTGGAGGGAGCCATTATACGAGGCATGAAGAAAGTTAACAGTGATGATAGCGCTTTCGGTAGTGCCGAATCCACAATGAAGGATTCGGATGAGAAGGTACATTTGTCATTGTTATCTAAGTTATATGCACGATATTTTGCCTGCCTAAGTTTGGATTTGATATATTTATTATTGTATAATACACACATCTATATCGATTAATAATTATTTAGTGCACCATCAAATCACTTATAGCCGGACATAGAATGGCATCCCGGTCAAAATGTAGTGTCGTAGTCGGAATGAGTAGTTATATAAACAAAAATTTTTTTCTTTTTTTTTTTCTCTTTCGATACGAGGGGGGTTTCCAGTTCATAATTCCAGGTCAATGATATGATGGATTATATATGCGAGATTTGGTAAAACAGAAAGGCGATGATGAGCAAGAAAACGAGGAGGCTGAAACTCCGAATGGAGACGAGGAAGTTGAGAATCCAAATGGAGAAGAGGAAGCACAGAATGAAGAACAAGAAGTACAGAATGAAGAACAAGAAGCACAGAATGAAGAACAAGAAGCACAAAATGAAGAAGAGGAGGAAGCACAGAACGGAGAAGAGGAAGCACAAAATGAAGATGAGGCGAATGACGGAGGAGACGAAAATGAAGCCGAAGCAGAAAATAACGAGGAAGATGCCACCAATGAGAACGAAGAAGAGCAAGAGGAAAAAGCATCATCTGACGATGATGTGGTAACTGGACCTGTCGCGGAACCAACGAAAGACGAGGAGGATGGGCCTGAAGCTGTCCATAATGAGGATAGTATCTACGAGGAATCCCCGAAGATTGAGGAAATCGCTAATGATGAAATCGTCGAACACGAAGAAAGAAACGAGCCTAGTACTGGCGATTCTGGCGTTGACGATCCTGCACAAGATGAAGAGCAGGTATTGTCTTAATCGAATTGTCACGATCACTGCACTGCGCCTTGTATAATACAAAGAAGAAGCCGGGATATTTCAATCTATGTCCGTCCCTGGAATTACGATGTTATATAATATCTATGTATAATATGTAACAGTAATTACGTTCAATAATAACATTTTTTAAATTGAGAAAAAATTTGCAATTCACTTCCTCCAATAAAATGAAGAAAAGAAATTCTCTTACTTTCTAAAACTTTTAGAGTGAATTGTCACTCTGAAGAATGAAATATCACTCTTAAAGATTAAAAATTGAACCACTCTTTTTCAAAACTGGCTCCATTTTCATTCTTTAGAGTGAGAATCATTCCAAAGAATTTAAAAAGTACGATTCCTTAGACAGAAGTCTATTTGTAAGACTCGAGTTACCCACAAGAAGAGTTACCAACAAACTTTTTTTTACGGACACCCTGTGTGCTATACACACGTGCGTAGGCATGGCGAGAGACACACGATCGATTCGCATGTAGGATTAATATCTCCTATCGATCGTGTGTCTCTTAGCCGCGCGCATGATTTTGTACTTAAATATGACAGCAGGTCATCGTCGGCGAACATCAGGAGCCCGCGGAAGTAGAATTGACTGAGGGTAGTATGGGCCGAGATCTAGAAGTAGATAGTTTACTAGAGAATGACAATATGGAACAATTAGCGGTTCTCGTTCTCAATGGTGAAGGCCGACGATTGGTCGGACGACAGTGCGGAAATCCCGAACTCCAAGCTTTCATCGACAATGTTCCGACTTATATGGTATGTTATTGTTATAATAACAAAAAGCAAAAGCGTTATATATATATATATATTTATTTATAAAATATATATATATATATTATATAATATTAGGGAAAAATTCATGCTGTGCACATGGCAGCGCGAGAAGGAAATCTTCGAGACCTGCAAAGCGCACTGGATCGCCGTAAATTCGCAGTGGCGCGAGACGAATCGTCACCCCATGGCGCAACGCCATTACATGTGGCCGTTATCTTTGGACATACCATTATCATTAGGTATTGTTAACATATTTTCACAATATAAAATATATATATACACATTTAATTTTATATTCAACATATAATACATTTTATGTTTGCTCTGCGTTTTGATAACAAAATTTTATAATTTCTTCCTTCTAATCAATAACGCTTTTAACCTTTAGAAAATGAAGATCTATATTTAAAATCTTACAACTTTTTCTTGAGTAAGATTTGTTACAATTCATTATTTTATTGTATTTCTTGTTTCAAAATATGACAATGTTCCAGTGCCACTATAGTGGCACTTTTCCGTCCTATAAAGGTTAAAAATCTCGTTATTGATAAAAAGGATATAATGCAAGAGTATTACTTGATAAGTAACTCGTCTATGTAACTGTTAGACAAACCGTCGATAGCTCATAATTTATCTCTGCCATATCGATAGATTTTTATTCGAATGATAGGTTATAAACTAATACTATCAAATCCATTCAGTTGAATATTTTATACTTGATTTAGGTATCTGGCAGGAAGATTTCCAGAAACTACTAACGCGATCGATCTCGACGGACGAACTCCGTTACATTACGCTGCAACGCTCGCAGACAATGGTCATTACTATAATCTTTTGCTACATTTGGGTGCCAATCCCTTAATAGAGGATAATGTGAGTTAACCTACTATTATAATGTCTTATTGCATTCTTTATTATTATCATAATTCGACAATCATGAATAGTGCAATTTTGTTCTCTCAAATGAAATAATAAAATTTAAAAAAAATTTTGAATTCTAGTAGAAATAAAGAATTAATTTATGCTAAGAAAATACTCGCAGAATTTTCACAAATTAACTATTCTGCTAAGCAAGGTATTGATAAAATCTTATCTTTTCACGCAGTTCGGACAAAAGGCAGATTATTACAAGCGAAATCAAAGCGACTTATCGCACAAAAAACTTCTTCGCAGTTTCGGGGCTAGCGAGACATTCGCCGATGAAATGTTGACAGATAAAGGTATTTCTTGATTTGCAACATTTTAAAGCACCATTAGCAATATAAATATTTAAAAAAAAATCGCGACATAAATCCGGGCACTCTCATCTCGCGACGTCACCCTTCGTATTTTGTGTTCAAAAAGATGTTTCTAATCCAAATTAAGATCTCGTAAAGATCCTCGACAATGTCGCACTTGGCACAAATATTCTATGTGTCGCGATTTCGTTAAGTATCTATTAACTGTTTCCCGTTTGCACATAAAAACATTGTTAATTTAATTATTTTAGGATATCTCATTTCGTACACGATCGATTTATTATATTTTTTAGACAAGCGCAATCAGGTCATCCCTCAAATACCGTGTAAGAATCCTAGTCGAAATACTTGTTGAAATGTTTTCCCATTCTAATTTTCTAATTTTGTAGATTGATTAGTGCTTTGCTCAATTATTTTTATAATAGCATGTATCCAAGTCAACACTTAACACTTCAGCGCGTTGATCGAGCTAAGGTGTGAAATATAAATTCGCTACTTATATATATATATATATATATATATATATATATATATACTAGACCATTATAATTATTGTAAGATTAAGAAAAAGAAAATTTTGATCGTAAATGATTTAGTCATCACAATTGCATGAAATTCTTGCAATAATTATTCTTTACAAAACTATACAACATCTCAAATATGCAAAAAATCATCATCATAAATTGTAAAAACAACCAATTTCATTTTCTCATATACTTCAAGTGAAGTATTTTATTTGAAGCTTAATTTATTAATATTTATTCTTTGATAATTGCTACTAACATCACCGCAAAATTTGCTTATTCACTTTTCCTCATCAACCAACCATCTCTCAACGCCGCTGCTACTGATTCAACCGAGATCTACAGTACCCGGAGGTGATATCTACTCGGCTCGGCGTGACGTAAGCGAGCCTGAAATCCTGGCAACTCTGGAACGATGTTTCCGATTACTGGCGGGCAATCGGCGATCGTCGTTACCAAAAACTCCGTCGTCGAACGCCGGTACACTAGTCGCTCGTTGCCTAAAACGGCCCGTGTTCGATTTGATCAAGCACCGTGTGACTCGCATGGATCACAATCTTTTTGACGTGATCTGGCCTTCTCTGAAAAGGTACGGTACCGTCACAGGCAACGGCAGCAAGACCAGCAGTGCTCGCTCGAACATCAGCATCGCAGACGAGGATCATGGTTATGGCGTGGTCGCGCCTGATTTTGAAAGTTATGTCGTCTTTACGGAGTTCTTCGATCCCTTCATTCGGGAGCTGCACTGCGTAACTGCAAGTGGCGATCTACCCGATCATTCGCTACCACGTTTCTTCAGCGAAAGCGAAGAGGGCGAGGAGGCTCCGCCGGATGAAACGATTGTCACCGCACTCGAACAATACGATCTAGACCCGACCGCCAAATATATCCAAGCCGGTATTTTAGAGTGTACCCGGAACCTAGTTAATTACAGCCTACCATTGACTTTGACGGTCAATCAGCTGGAAGAGGTCGAAAGGGAAATCACCAATCAACTAATGAGTTCAGAGATAACCGACCTGATGGCAGAAGGAAGCAGTGAGGACGAAGCTGGCACGTACTTCACTCTTAATGAAATTCTCGAACAACCCAGCCAAATACGGGCGCAATTAGCGGCAGCCGGTCTATTGTTACCAATCACGGAATTCGAGCCAAACGACGAACGACGTCTTCACGGCAAGCATTGGCCCTATGGACGTGGTGTGTATGTCACTACCGCCGGCGATCTCGCGGCATGGGTAAACATTCAGGATCACTTGAGGGTCATCTGTCGCACCAATGAGAACCGACCAGGTTTACTGGGTCGCGCTTATGTTAGGGTAGCTAAACTAATGATGATATTCGACCAAAGACTAAAATTCAAACGAGATCAGAAACTAGGTTTTCTGTCCGCCCGTCCACACACCCTCGGCAACACCATCAGATTCTGCCTGATCATACGATTTTCTGAACTTTCGAAAACACCTGACAATTTGCGACATCTATGCGTGGTGCGTGGCTTGAACGTGCGTGACACCGTGAAAAGCGATATGGTGAGGATCGGTAATCAACAATCACTAGCCATTACCGAACTGCAGACCCTCCAGGACTTCTCCAGAGCGGTGCACAATATCATCACGCTGGAGAAGGAATTATCGCTGAACAACTCGATGAAGATCGCCAATCTCATCACCGGCATATTCCGCAAGCGAGCGAACGCGGCGAGGAATCTCGCGAAGACATAAAATTGGTGGTCACAATTTCGAGAAACAATAATATTAGATTTTAAGTTATTAAAAATGATCTATTTAATCACCTTCTGCTCGCTTTAGAGACAAAATTGGCAAGTAACAGTTTGTTAAAAACAAACTGCATAAGGCAAACGAGAATTATCGAAAATAATAATTTCTATAAAATGTATATGTATATATATTACATAACTTATCAAAAAAATTAATTTTAACATGGTTTGAGGAATTTTACATGGCAAAAACTCTTATTCATTGTCAGACATATTTAGATAAGCAAAACGACTGATTTCACTTTTATTCGTTATTTAACAATACTAATGATTTATCTTTGAGAGCCTCCGTTCTTTAAAATTTCTCTCAAGTTTTTCTATAAGAAACACGCTTTCGTGAAAATTTTCTGTGATAATTATCAGCCAATGTTATCAGCCAAAATTAATCGTCAATTACAATTGACAGACTGAACTTTTTAAATAATATTTAGACTATAATGAGCGAGAGGGAGAGAGATAGAGAGAAAGAAGGAGAGAGAAATGCGTTGGAAAGATGTGTGAACGTTATTTTATTTCCTCTCGTGCACCAGCGTCTCTCTTATGAAATTAAACTAAATTACACTCGTAGTCGCTCTATTAATCGGATTAACCGGCGACGAAATCGCAGGATTGCTGATTAGGTTAGTAATAATCAGCATTGGTATATATTATACACGATATATTGTTGCACAATATCTCACAATCATATCTTGTAAATATTTGTTCTCTTGGAGTAATTCGGCAAATTGTAAAAATTTTATATATTTTAACATTACTCATAAGAGCAACGATTTTACATGAATTCTCCTCGATGTATATAACAAAATAAATGTTTATTCAAATCAAATCTAACAAATGCAAACTAGCAGTAACAGTGTTTTATATCAATGTTATAATTTCCCACTCTACAATATAAATGTAATATAATACATATTGCACGTAACAATTATATTATTGAGTGAAAATTATAACATTGATGTGATGTTACTGTTAGTTAACATTTACTGAGAAGATTCGTAATTACAAATGTGAGAATTATAGGAAATATTTAATAATATTTATCGATAGATTGTCGTGTTTATATAAATTCTTGATAAGCATGACACTATTTTCATGTAAAGTCGAATATATAAAAATTTTTTAGGCGATATTGGTGGCACAATAAGCTTGAAATATGTTAAAGTTTTTTCAATAGCTTTCTTTATATGTAATGCACGAGTCGATGTTCACACAAAATAAAAATGGCGAAGCACACGTCTTTCCAACTCAGTGTTATTATTCGTACTAAAATAGACCTATGTACCCTTCTCTTTTATTCTTATTCTAAGCATCGCGATGTAAATTTGTTAATTAAAAAATGAGCCAATAGGCATCTAAGTGTCAAATTGTAATTAATTTTTATAAATATATACGGGTATACATGTATACTTCATACATTTTTATTACTGTTATCCTGTTTTGTGTAATATATTATGCAATAACTATATTTTATCACACAATAAAATATTTACTATAATGGAAGAGCAATAAATAAAAATTGATATTCTACTCAATAGTAGAAAATAACTTTATTATCGATAAATCGATAACAAATTGACATTTATACGTCTATTGATTAAGAATTGCGCGCGATTATAATTATTCATTGTATTATACAGTATAATTTACGAATGTACTTTTTTAGATAAATCAATTGTCTTTATGTTATGCAATTGTGTTTGTTTATGCTTTTGCACATTAAATTTGAGCTTGTGTGTGTGCGTGTGTAGTATCGTAATAATATTAATTCTGTGTTGCTATCACGTTTGCCGAGTTGTTATATTGCACAGAGTTTCTGGTATATCTTTAATATAGCTGAAAACAATTATCGCATGAATATAAAAAATTCTCTTAAATCATAGGAGATAATTAAAATATAAAAAAAAAGAACTTTTTGCTTGGGATTTCACTGAAACTTCATTAAAATTTGCATGTTATATAAAAATGTATTAATCATTTTCAGTAAAAAAATAGCAAAAGTAAATTAAAGCTAAAAACGTGCATGCTAGTTTTTATAACAATAAAATTTTAATTTATGACTTAATTATACGGAAAGAACGCTTTTTTTGTTGAAGTATCTAAAAATTAAGCTAGATGTAAAATTAAAAATAATGTTGCTTATATCATTAAAATAATTATATAAGATGGTAAAACTAATTGCTAGAATATCAAATTTGTTTAAAGCATCGCTCTTCGTGTGTGCTTGAGTTTCCTAATTTCCTACATAATTATTTTGATGATACAACAAAATAATTTTCAGATCTGTATCTAGCTAAAAATATTTAGATACTTCATCAAAATTGTTCTTTCCGTATTTTTTAAAATTAAAATAATATGCGCACAATATTTTTTAAATTATTATTCGACCTAATGGATTTATTTTTACAGATGATAGTGGAGTTGATGTTCCAATATTTCGTACGGAGGAAGGACATTATTTAGCATCATGTAAGCATAGCATACACATAGTCATAGCATACTTTTATAAAAATCTATTATATGTAACAAAATCATTTGTTCTTCAGCGCTGGGTGATCCTTTAATTAAAGGATTAACAGAAGTAGCTAATGCACGTCCAAAGGATCCGATCACATATCTTGCAACATATTTATACAACTTTGCGAGCCAGAATAAAGCCAATGAACAGGTATATGTTCGATTCGATCGATTGAAGAATTGAATGTCATGGAATATTATTATCGTATTAATATTGGACTGTTTCCCGCTGACTTTTTTTCACTCTGCTTTCAGGAATCTGATGTCCTCTTAATATCCGATCACGAAGAAGAAAATTTGGATAATAATATCGAGAATGACACTTTCGACGATGACGCTGGCTATCCTCAAAGCCCAGATTCTGATATACCTGAATCCACATTTAGCAATCCTAATAGGGTATGTGAATAAAAATGTATTTCAACTTTCATAGGATAAAATTTTTTAGAATTTACGCTAAAATTTATTTGCAAGATCCTTTGCAACACACACGGAAAGACACATACTATACGCAAATAATAATTACTTGCTTCAAGTTTTTCAAAAGTTCATATATTTACAAATCTATCATAAATTCATTACAAGTATCAAACTTATTTAAAATATATTTTAAATCCTAGTAAGTTTAAATTAGATTGATATTTTTACTCAATTATTTTAGTCTTTCAATTTTTATATATAAATACTATTATATTATATAGCAATTAGATAACACCAAGGATAACATGAACAAGTCAGTTAAAATTTCATTTTTGTGAGCAAAATATCGAATTTCTTCTTTTGAAAAATTAAATAATCCATTATTTATTCTACATAAAAAGAACTTATTCTTTTAATTTAACATAAAACAACATAAAAAGAATTTATTCTTTTAATTTAACATTTTCGTATATAGAAAGATTTATTAAATCTATCACGTTGACGCAATTAAAATGATTTAAAAAGTTAAGGATCCATTATTTTTAACCCTTAATACACCCCTCTGGATCATTCGTGTCCTATGCATTTTTTTTTCCCCTAATACTAAGAGCACCTGGTCAAATATTGGTCTCTTTTCTATTCCTAAAAAAAGTTTGGCATCTAGAGAACAAGTTTTGTTCTCTATTTTTTTTATATTATGTAAAATAAACTAAAATCCCAGTAGTATTTCGTCGCGGAATTTATAAAATAATTTGTTGCATCGATTTTTTTCAGAAATTAGCAGTTTAGTTTTAGCGACGTGTGTTATTTATTTTATAATTTCAAATATTTCGTTTAAATAAGCAATATATTAAATAAATTATATGTGCACTATTAAAATATATATTTTTTTAATAAAAAGATAAAAGAATTATTTAGAATTTATTATTTTAAATAATTTCTGACCTGTTTCTTAACCCTTATTACACACCTTAAAGTTTTGAGCAACCTTACCTTTACATAATTCGCGTTCATAGATATCTAATTTTTACGAATTAATGCGCCATTCGAAACGATTCGTACCACTGCCATCCCCTTCGAAGGTCGCCGAGCGAATGTCAAAGTGATGACGCAGCAATCGCGCTCCCCCACGCTGTTCGCGCTCCCCCTCTCCTGATATGCCGCGCCGTTGGGATACCCAACTGTCGCGTATGAAAAATATTCAGTTTATTCAAATATTCGTATTTTATATGATTTTGACAAATGAATATTGTACATTTCGCGCTTTGCTTTGTGCTGACACTTGTTTCTATTAGGTCATTTAAAAAGTATCCGCGGTTTTTTGTTCAATTTTTGAATGAAAAAACCGCGGATACTTTTTAAATGACCCAATATATTACTTGCGCAATTCCTTTAAACCTAATTAGTAATTATTTGCGTCAGATATTTTTGATATTTCAACATTATGTCTCATCTCATTATTCTTTTTAATCATTTATATTTAAAGATTGATATTCTATATATTCTTTTTAGATAAAGATACATGCAAATTTTCTTAAATTAATATATTATTTCTAGCGATTTTAAATTATAAATTCCTTTTTTTTTAAACATCAGTTTCGTGATTTCCAAAAACTATAAACGATATTTTTTTAAATAAGCTCAAGTTCCATGTATCTTCTCCAATACAAAATTTGCTAAACCATCGTTGAATTGTGTACTCATTAATATTTCGATCAAAATCATTAAATTAAAACAAATTCGATTCGCTTGTTATATATAAAGTTGCTTTTTCGACAAAATTTTATGTTGTTCTTCAAAAGAAAATAAATTCTTGTTTTGAATACATGGTTAACGAATTTTTTTAAATTTCTAATAAGCATATTTTAAGATTATTTTAAGAAAATATTCTTTGTTGAAGATAAGTATTACTTAAAAGAAAGAAAATAAAATGAATAATCAGTGTAATCATTTTTCTTAGCAATAGAATAATATTTTTCTGCATGTAAAAATAAAAGTGACTTTTTGTAAAATGGCAATGAATAAGAATAAAAACGTTTTTTAGGACGAACATGGGCAAAGTATGATCCACTTCGCTGCGGTTCGTTCCTATTCAAAAGATGGCTTGTATCACCTGCTGCTGGAGACGCAAGTCAATGTCGGTTTCAGGGACGAATTGTATCGGACA